ATCCTATAAACGTCGAAAATATACCCAACCCAGGCCGGTCGAATATAATACCCTGTCATGTCGAATACCTTACATATCCTATAAATGTCGAATACTATACCCTACCGTGTCGAATACAATAGCCTACCATGTACAATACAATACCCTACCATGTCGAATACAATATTCTACCACGTCGAATACAATAGCCTACCTTGTCGAATACAATACCCTACCATGTCGAATACAATATCCTACTATGTCGAATACAATATCCTACCTTGTCGAATACTATACCATACCATGTCGAATACCTTACATAATCTATAAATGTCGAATACAATATCCAACCATGTTAAACACCTTACATATCCTATAACTGTCGAATCCAATATCCTACCACGTCGAATACAATACCCTACCACGTCGAATACAATATCCTACCATGTCGAATACAATATCTTACCATATCGAATACTATACCCTACCATGTCGAATACCTTACATATCCTATAAATGTCGAAAGTATACCCAACCCAGGTCTGTCGAATAAAATACCCTGCCATGTCGTATACCTTACATATCCTATAAATGTCGAATATAATACCCTGCCATATCGAATACCTTACCTATCCTATAAATGTCGAAAGTATACCCAACCCAGGCCTGTCGAATAGAATACCCTACCATGTCGTATATCCTACATATCCTATAATTGTTGAATACTATACCCAACCCAGGCCTGTCGAATACAATACCCTGCCATGTCGAATAACTTACATATCCTATAAATGTCGAAAGTATACCCAATCCAGGCCTGTTGAATAGAATACCCTGCCATGTTATATACCTTACATATCCTATAAATGTCGAATACAATGCCCTGCCTTGTCGAATACCTTACATATCCTATAAACGTCGAAAGTATACCCAACCCAGGTCTGTCGAATAGAATACCCTGCCATGTCGTATACCTTACATATCCTATAAATGTCGAATATAATACCCTGCCATATCGAATACCTTACCTATCCTATAAATGTCGAAAGTATACCCAACCCAGGCCTGTCGAATAGAATACCCTACCATGTCGTATATCCTACATATCCTATAATTGTCGAATACTATACCCAACCCAGGCCTGTCGAATACAATACCCTGCCATGTCGAATAACTTACATATCCTATAAATGTCGAAAGTATACCCAATCCAGGCCTGTCGAATAGAATACCCTGCCATGTTGTATACCTTACATATCCTATAAATGTCGAATACAATACCCTGCCATGTCGAATACCTTACATATCCTATAAATGTCGAATACTATACCCTACCGTGTCGAATACAATACCCTACCATGTCGAATACAATATCCTACCATGTCGAATACAATATCCTACTATGTCGAATAAAATATCCTACCATGTCGAATACTATACCCTACCATGTCGAATACCTTACATATTCTATAAATGTCGAATACAATATCCAACCATGTCAAATACATTACATATCCTATAAATGTCGAATACTATACCCAAACCCAGGCCTGTCGAATACAATGCCCTGCAATGTCGAATTCCTTACATATCCTATAAATGTCGAATACTATACCCTACCGTGTCGAATACAATACCCTACCATGTCGAATACCTTACATATCCTATAAATGCCGAATACTATACCCTGCCATGTCGTATACCTTACATCTCCTATAAATGTTGAAAGTATACCCAACCCAGGTCTGTCGAATAGAATACCCTGCATGTCGTATACCTTACATATCCTATAAATGTCGAATACAATACCCTTCCATGTCGAATACCTTACATATCCTATTAATGTCAAAAGTATACCCAACCCAGGTCTGTCGAATAGAATACCCTGCCGTGTCGTATACCTTACATATCCTATAAATGTCGAAAGTATACCGAACCCAGGTCTGTCGAATAGTATACCCTGCCATGTCGTATACCTTACATATCCTATAAATGTCGAAAGTATACCCAACCCAGGTCTGTCGAA